GTGGGGACATAATTACGGATTATAATGACTTATACTGTCTTTTTATGCGTTGCGTATCGCGCTGCGTAAACATAAAACCCTGTCTGCATTTGTGATCGGAGAAATGACAAACAACTAGCACTGCTCTACACTGCTCAAAACTCTCGTTTGAATCATCAGTGGCAAATTCTTTAAATATGAAAACGTACTTACAAGTTGTGAGCAAAGTGTCTTTGCAAAATTGTTATTCCCCCACTTTATAGAAACAGACACCGGCATTGTAGGTTAGTCTCTCAAGAAACAGTCCTCGTCCTCCATAAAATGCGCTGCACACATCTGAATATTTGGGTTGAACTGTTCCTGAACAGTGTTGTAAATACATCTTAACCATTCTAAGGGATTTCTAGTTGTGTCCTCTTTTGGAAGGCCAAACAAAGTAGTTTCGTTTTCACAACGAAGCACACATCGTCTTCACGACATGGCGGCGGCAGCAACAATACTACAGCGAGAATCAAATTTAAGCTTTCTTTCTTCAGATGGGTGTAATGTTTAGAAAAGGCCCCCCCCAGGCCCTGGTTCACACTGACAAACAAACTTTAACAAACAGCAGCCAACAGTGACTCTTGGGTTTTGTTGGATCAGTGTGTCAAACCTGTTAGTGTTTCTTGCTCAAGAATGCTTAAGGTTAAAATCTACACTTATTTCATGTACATCATTTATAATACAAACTTAAATGCTCAGCATCATCTCAGGGTCCAGATCACACTGTCAGGGTTTGTGATAATGACTGTACATGATCACTTACTTCATTTATTACTTAGGGATTTTATTAAAGGTATATAGAGCAGATATTTACAGATACTCAGTACAATATACTGTTGGATAAATGTGTTTGTTCCTTATTTGTTGCAGGTGATGCCCAACATCTCTCAGAGCTGAGGATTGTGTTAATGGGGTATAGAGCTGCTGGTAAGAGTTCAACAGGAAACACCATCCTGGGCAGAGAGGAGTTTGACTTGAAGACATCTGCTCAGTGTGTGAGGAGACATGGAGAAGTAGCAGACAGACACATCACTGTCATTGAAGCTCCAGGATGGTGGATTGATGAACCTGTACAGGAGAGCTCTGAGTTACTGAAACAGGAGATTTTGCTCAGTGTGTCTCTGTGTCCTCCAGGACCACACGCTGTACTACTGATCATACATGTGGACTACATGTTTAAAGAAACTGAGAGAAAAGTACTGCAGGGGTATCTGGATCTTCTCGGTGAGAGAGTCTGGAGTCACACTATAGTGCTGTTCACTCGTGGAGACTTTCTGTTAGACACATCTATAGAGCAGCACATTGAGAGTGAAGGGCAGGATCTCCAGTGGCTGCTGGACAAATGTGGGAACAGGTATCATGTTCTCAACAATCAGAACAGGAGTGACGACACTCAGATCAAGGAGCTGCTGGAGAAGATCGAGGAGACAGTGGCACAAAACAACGGCTGCCATTTGGAAATAGACAGAAATAATTCAGAAGTCATAAATCGAAGCAAGGGATCTTCAAGAGGAAGCTTTGAAAATGCAACAAATATGAGTAAGTAAATTCTTCTTGATGGATACTTGATGGATAGTTTATTTTCAGTTTGAAGATACAAGATGAAACCAGTGGAGAAATTGTATTGACATTTATGCATTTTGCAGACACATTTATCTAAAGTGTCTTACATTTTAGTCAAAGTTTACAGCATGAATTAAAGCCATTATCCTGGTATTGCCATCCCTCACTCTACCAGCACTGGCACACAGATGACCTTTTTTTTTTTTTTTTTGACTGG